CTGACCACTATGCATGAAAGGGTTAAAAATCCTCTGAAATTTCGAATTATTATTGATGTAGGTGGATTTTCTCTTCGCATTCACTGTAATGTTTTCTATTGAAATGCCAACATAGCAGGTTCTCAAACCAAAAGCTGACTTTCTGAGTGAGTGCAGCTGATCAGAAAAGTGCTGAGAGAGCACTTTCCGCTCAACTGACAAAACATTTGCGCTTTACTTCTGTCGCCCTCTCACTTGACCGAGTTTTTGTGTTTAGCAGAAAAGCGTGATCAAACACAGGCAGACACACAGATCATGTGTACACACAGTCCACAATAAGAAAAAAATGTGTTTGCCACAGCTGGAGTTCAATTCAAAGATAAAAACTTAATTCTAGTCAGTAGAAATATTGTAAGAATGATAAATCTCATTAGTCATGTAGTGTCTAATCAGTGATTGCTCACAGAAATAATCCAACCACAGTAAAGAGGACTCATTGTTTACTGTGTTTGATAAATCTCAACTCCACATTCAGTGTCTGCAGTTTTATTTTCATGCTGCTCTGAAACTCTGAAGGGAAGTTTACAGTCTAGATCTCCATGATGTAACAGGACTGTTTAACCTGAGCTGCTGATCACTGTTCAAAGCAGAACTACTTTGGACTTTTTTATTCTTCTTACAGTAGTTCATATCTTTTATATTAAATAAGATTCCAAGTTTGTTTTGTATATCCTAGTTTTTGGATTAAACTGCTGATTGTGTTCCTGTTCTCGCACTGACTTGTACAAATTCCATCGTTTACTACTAAAAACATATTTTCTACAGTCACTGATTTAGACAGAAACATGTTAAACTTTGGAGGATGATTTAAATGTCCTGCTAGATTGTTTTTTTGTTTTAGTGACAAACCTCTGCATTGACACTGGGTTTTGCAGCTTAAAGGCAAGTGTTTCTTTGTGTGCATGTGCAGTTGCAGAGTCTCAACTATACTTGTGTTTGTTGCCTTCAAGGAACTCTGCCAAACATGGACATCAGAACTACAAAGCAACACACTGTAAATCATCTGCGCTGCAGTGAACAACAGACAAAATGTGGTGACATTCAGCAAACACCACAATATTAACAACTAACTGTATCTTTGTGAGTTTCTACAGGTTTCACTGACTTATACATGAAGTGGATATATGAGGGCTTCCTTTAATGCTTCACAATAAGTGTGAGAGATGTATCTTCAAGCAGTTCAGAGGCCACATTATGAATTGTGACTCTTGGTTTTAAGTGTCACAGCTGATGTTAGCAGAATTTAACACAGAGGACCAAATGTAGACATCAGAGAGAAAGGTCTGTTTAATGATTTATGTCACACAAAGAGAAGGAATGACTCGCAGAATGAGGCTCAGAATTAAACACAGATGTGAAGAAACACAGATTGAAAGCATGAAGCTCAGAAAAAAACATTTGCGAGATCATTCTGGTAACAAAAAAGGAGATGAAATAATGTTTAAGCTGAGAAGTTGTACAGAGAATTAAATAAAGGTGAGGAGCGCTTATAAGTGACTGAGGTGAGACATAACAAGTAGATAGTAGA